TCTGCCAAGAACAGAGACATTGTTTCCGGTGGGACATTCGGGAATGAGGTTTCCTTTGAAAGGAGTCCATCGACTTGATTCGTTTCGATTGGGGCTTTGGTTGGTCTCATGCTATTTGCTCCAGCATGCAGGTGGGTGAGGTGGGGGGGGGGGTGCCTTGAGATTGAGACGCGAACGACAAAGAATGGGCGCCCTTTTTCTTTGAGCCACTTCAGGATTTCTGCCCTTTTGCACTGTTGCACACACGATGCACAAACTCCATTAGATGGTATAGGTAGCTTATCCCGTTTATCCCAACATACATAAGGGGGGTCCCCTAAAATGGTTGGTTTCCTGTTGGTTTGCTTTACCAACCAAGGGGTCCACCATGTTGAGAACTAGGGTAACTCATCCACCTTTTTCCTGGCGATGGTCTTTCTGGGTTGGATCTTTACATCGCTTCCGTCCCCTTCAAATGTCTAGGGTCCGGTCCGCAGGTTCTGAGGTCAAATACAAATCCAGATAGGTGAAGTTCATTTAACCCCGCTGCCCCCCCCAATTGCCGGCCGCCCACCCCGAAAGAGCCCCGAAAGTAAGGGTTGGTTTGGAACGGGTTGCAACTCAAGCCTCCTATGCTGTTCGGCCGATGAATCCTTTGTGGCTTCTGAGCGTCTTCTAGGAAGGCATGGAGGATTCACTCAATAGCACGAAGCCCCCCCCCCGGCCAACAAAAAAACAAAACGTGATTTCCCAGAGGCGTGTCGGTTCTCAAGGGAACTTCAAGGGGTTTTGGGACTCCGGCCAAAAAAAACTAACTGTTCCCTTCCAAGGAAGCCTTTCGTTGGGGTTCCGGATTTGGGGTCCCCAGCTCCCGACGCTTCCGATCCGACCGAATTTTCCTTCGCCCAGTTCACGACCACCGTGGGCTGGATCATCCTGCTCTACTGGTCCGGCGACGTGGTGATGAGCAGGGATCCTGGGAGCCTCGAGCATTTGAGCCTTTGGGTTCCAAGCGTCCATTTGCTTAAGAATATGTTTTTCCATTATTGGTTTTAAAAGGAATTTGTCACTACTGGAAATATGTTCTTTTTTGTTTTGTTTTTTTTCCTCCAGGGGTCTTAACCAAATGGAAGTAAGTCTCAGAAGCTGGCTTTGGGTTAAAACCCCATGGGCTTGAAAGTCAAAGCTGGGCGCGGGGGGGCGGGGGGGGGGGAGGGAGGAACATTTGAACTCGGAAGGTTTCCACAAGATTGCTTGTATCCTTTGGGCTTTTTCCCCTGTGTCGTTTCAAAAGTCGAGGACCAATTCAAATGCTCTCCTTTGGCTTTCAATTCCTTGAAACAATAGGGGGCCCAAGTTTGACCTTTGCAGAAATGGCTGGTTCCCTTCTGGACTGCTCACTTCAGGTTGGCAAATGAACAACCTCCCCCATTTAGTTTCGAGAACGCTCCTTTTGGGGGCCCTCTTTTCGGGTGTTCGTTGGGGGAGCGGTGCTGGATGCACAAAATCCGCTTCGCAGTTGGGCGACTTGTGCCATGCAAAGGATATTTTGTGCCTCCCCACTGGCGCAGGATTTGTCCAGCAGAATTCCCGTCCCTCGATCGGCTGAAAGGAAGCCCCTTTGCGAACGTTGATCGACCCGGATTCATAGAAACCAGCAGGAAATTCTGCAGGAAGTTAGCCAAATACCCACAAAAATCTGGGGTGTCCTAGCCAAATGCCCTCAAAAAATCAGGGGGTTCCTAGCCAAATACCCACAAAAGTCACGGGGTTCCTAGCCAAATACCCACAAAAATCAGGGGGTTTCCCAAAGAATTCCTGTAGTTGGTTTTTTAGACCAGATGCCCTGGGCCCCCTTTTGCGCGCGCCACCGCCCAGACGCTCAGCCGTTCAGCCAGCACTTCAGGCAACCTGGTCGGCTTCTACGAACAGGGAGCGCCTCTGGCCAGTTGGAGAGCTGTCGCCAGACAGCCCCGGAGTGGTTTCTTCCATTTGCTGAAGAATATTTGTGATTTGTTGGTTTTAAAGGGAAGCTATCACTACTGGAAATAGTTGTTATTTTCCCCTGTTGGTTTTAAAGGGAATCTACTAATACTGGAAGTATTTTTTTTCTGGGGTCTTAACCAAATGGAAGGTTGGGTGGTGTTTGAGGCTGTGCCTTTTCTAGCCCCCGGTTTTCAATCAGGAAGCCTCGGATAAAAAAAGCGCCCTTCAAGCGAGAAGTTACGGACTCCTGAAACTTTCGGCTCAGTTTTGGGAGGAGGCACTGCTTCAGCAAACTCGGACCCACCCCCTGCGGAAGGGTTCAACAGGAACCCTTTCTTCCACAAATCGATCAGAAGGTTCTATGATGTTCTACGCATTCTGGATAAGATTTGGCAGCTTTGGTTTTCCCATCCAAAAGCGGTGGCTCTAGTTTGGTTTTCCTTTACAGACAGGTTTAGGGGTTGATTCCCCGTTCTTTTCAACCATCGTTCTTTTCAAAAACCCGCTGTTTGCTCGGGTTTTTGATAGTTTCCTGAAAAGAAGGATCCCTGCAAAGAATGGGGAAGGTACCCCTAGAACAGTGTAACTTCCAGTTTCTCGGCAAAACCAGCCTGAGGAACTGATCATGAATCAGCGGCGGATCATCTTCAGGTATCTCAGGACACCAAAGGGGCCGGGAGAGCCGCGCTTTTTGCGCGCGTGCCCTGGCCTTTGAGCCGGCTGGCGCTTATTCGATTGTCCTATCTAGTCTTCCATTTGCTTAAGAATAGGTGCTATTTTTATCTTGTTAGTTTTACAGGCAATCTATCACTACTGGAGAAGTTATTTTTTTCCAGGGGGCTTAGGCGAATGGAAGCAATCCGAAAAGTTTTTTTTTGGAGGGGGGGGTACCCTGAAAACCAAACAAACACATGTTCATCCGTGGGGAATGGGTTGGACACTTTGGACCCTGGCGGAGACAGCAACCTGTGGCAAGCAAATGGTGCATACACGTCTCAGTTTAGAGCGTTGAGTCGGCGTAAGATCCCTCCCAATTCAAAGATTTCAGTCCCCTGATTTGGAAGGAAGCTTCCAGTTTGGGCCCCTTGACATGGTTCTTTGATTTTCATGGAATGAGATGAATGAGCTTTGAGCCCTTTGGAAGGACGCTTGCAGTTTGGGCTCATTTGTGACATGGTTCTCCCACTTCAACGGAATGTCGACCGAGGCCTTCGGTCTGAAGCCCCCAGAAAAGAAGGGCCCGGGGACTGCAGGACCTGGTTCCTCATCGACCTGCTGGTCTTAGGCCCAGATTGGCCGGCGCCCGAGAAAGCCGTTCGACCTGCTTGGGTTGTCGCCGTGGGACCAAAATTTAAGGATCCAATGGGCTGTGGCAAAACAAACATGGAGACCAACATTTGGCACCTTGGCAAATGGAGCCAAAGACTATCATTTGCGTAACCCTAGCTTTTGAATTGTGAGCCACACCCAATTCTCATCGACCTGCTTTGGTAGGATGTGACGTGGTTGAAAGAAGCAAGGGCGAGCGAATCATGTTCTGATGGAAGTTTGCAAGTTTATGGACAAATGGAGTAGTTCATTTGGTTCCGTTTCCATGTGGTTTTCTTTCTAAAGAAGCCGACAAAGGCTTCCCCCAAAAAAAACAGAAAAGAAAACAAACAACAGAAAATCCGCTTGCTCGTTTACCCATTGGCCTTGTGGATTTCCTTCATTTGCCCTCTGAACCAAGGCCCCTCCTTTTATTTGGATTTGTCTTCTGTCGAGGCCGGTTACCCCTTTTGCTTGGTTGTTTTAGGGGGAACAACCTT